TGTCGCCTTAGACTTCTCCGCCGGCTTATTATTGACTATGGTTGACGATTTTATTTCGTTTGAAGTAGTTTTCTTCGGCTGAATTTTATCGGCTGCTTTTGCCATCTTCTTCGTTGTAGCTGACGCCTTTGGCGCCTTTTCAACTGTATCACCTATTTTGATCGATGTCTTCGCTGTTTTAGTTTTCGTAGTTTTTTTGTCGGCGGTTGTTTTCTTCTCGCCGTTTTCCGCCTTTTTCTTTGCTGCCTTCGCTGATATTTTCGGCATTTTTTCCGCTTTGGCAGCAGCCTAATTTAAATAAATTTTATTTAATTTTACTTACAAAATTCAAAAACACATCAAATCTTACCGTATCTTTCTTAGCCTTTTGCGTAAGCTTCTTTTGGTCCTGACGCTTTTTCTTTTCGTCTAGTCGATTCAACTCTGCAGACACTTTAAACGAGCCGCCTAGTCCGGTACCCTTCGCCTGTACCAATTTTCCATTTGCCAGGGCCTTCTTTATAAACTTCTTGATTAGCATTAGCGTACGCGGGCCATCCAGTTGTGGATAATTATTCGTTATGTATTTTTTGATAGCAATGGTCGAAGAACCGCCACGCTCATTTAAGCTTCTTATAGCCGCAAAAACCATCGTCTCGGTACTGACATTTTTCAGGCGTGCTGGTACACTTGTGGAGTTCGTAATAAATTTCGTATTACCAGGAGATTTAGAACCGTTCATTTTGGATTTCTTGTCCAACTCCTCTGGCTTTCCGCTATTTACATCCAGCTTGCCATTAACATTTTTCACAGAAATGTCCGCGTCACTACTTACAGAAGCATCGGAATCATTTTGAGACTCCTCTGATTTGCTCATTAAAATTTTGTGGTCTCCATTATGTGCTACTTTCGATTCACTACTGCTGGCGGTAATGGGTGGTTGGCCTTCGATGCCATTTTCGTCCCGTAAATCCTCCTCTGCATTGGAATCGGCAGTCTCGTCTCCGTCTTCATCTTCAATTGATTCCTCTAGCTGGTCTTCTTCACTCACCTCTTCCTCCTCTTCATCATCAGAGGTCTCAAATGGTTGGCACAAAAAAAATTTCATTTTTACGAGAGATTTTGTGTTGAACAATAAAACAAACAAATATCACGTTCACATATGTATGTGCATATAGGATATTTTGAAATGACTATTCAAGCTAGACTGATTTGACAAATTCTCTGTTTGCGGTAAATCCAGTAATGCATGGAACGGGTTCTTTAACCCATATATTTACATACTTTATGTAGTTAGTAATATTCAGTTTGCACATGCACATGTATGTAAATAAAAATTTAATAGATCCTAAATATCGCAGGCAATTAAACGAGTAGTTTGTAGTTGCTTAAGAAATAAAAGGAGATGATGCCCTTAATGGCAGAGGAAAGAAATTGGTGGGTGGGGCAACGATGACACCCGCCTCTATGAGTTGGTGGATTTGTTACCCAATTTTAGACACACTATAAATATTTCGATCAAAGCACCTTTCTCGTATGTAGATAATAGAATGTTAAGGCCCATTTTATGCTTTAATGCTACTATCATATTTGAAAATTTAAAAAAAAAAACTCCTTTAGCTTGTCGTGGACGGGACAGTATTTAGTTGCGGGTGGGACGAGTCTCCATTGAGGATGCAAAGTTCGTGAGTAGAATGAGCGCTACTTGTTTCATATGAATATTTATTATACTTTTAATAAAATTACCTCATTTTAACGAAGGGAAGCTTTCGTATTTTCAAAGTTACATTAAAAACAAACCATTGGCTGTGACGGGTGCTAGATCCAATACACAATTTTTTGAAAGCTGAGAACTTCTCACCATATGTTCATCTATTTTTTGTAATAACTCAGCACTGTTTTAAAGTCCATGAGGTTTACTTTCTCTTTGGATAATTATTAGTTGCGTTCGCGTAGCTGTTAATTGTTCATGTTTAACCAAAACTTACAAGTTTTTGCGTTCGCGTACGCAAAAAACTTACAAAGTAGGGGATATTGAGAGAGCAAAGTGACATTTCATTTTGAGGGGAAGCTGCTGGTTTCTGCTGGAAAAAATTTTGCCAACAGCAATTTGCCAACAGGAAAACAGCTGGTTGGCATTTACGTAAATCACAAAATTGAATTTGATGGTTTGGAAGTTAAAAATTACAAAATGCGACTAATTAAACTTGTAAGAAATAAGTAGTTATTTGTTTAATCAATAAACTGTGCCAGTATAACACTTTGTGATGACTTTTCGTACGTTTTAAATTTTACACTTTTGAATGTAAACAAAAATTATATCAGCTGTTCGTCTAACTTGCAAGTTTCTGCAAATTTTCTGTTCGCGTACTATTTGGGATATTTTTCGCTTGTGAGAGCACAGATGCAATTCGCCGGAATTTGGCAGTTGGTTGGTTTTTACTGCAGATTTTAAACGAACGCACCTATTATTTGCATTGTCAACTTAAATACACGAGCATTACCTTGACAACTTGATGAAAAATACTATAGCATTTTCAGTTTAAATGAAACTTTTTTCAAATTAAATGAAACCATTTTCAAACAAAGCGAAACCTTTTTCAAAATCAATGAAACCTTATAATATAAAGTGAAACCCTTTTCAAATTCATTGAAAACTTTTTCAGATTCAATAAAACTTTATTCAAAAAGTATCCATTCATTTTAATAAAGTTTCATTGAATCTGAAAAAAAGGTTTCATTTAATTTGAAAAAGGTTTCACTTAATTTGAAAATTATTTCATTTAAACTTAAAATTATATATATGAGAGATAGTCACACTACGCTTGTACTGACAACAATAAAAAAAGAGAAAATAGCGGATTCTAAATCGATAAAAATCGATCTATGATAACCTGTGGTATCGTCTTCGCTAAAGTGACCCTAAGCTAAAGGGGGGGAGGGTCTGCGGCGTTTTTTCTTTTTTAAATAAAAGCGCAATTTTTTATTCCAAATTTTCGCCCGCGGCACTTTTCCTTTTTTCATATAAAACGATATTTTAATATTTATTTTGTCAAATATGATGCGCAGAAGAGTGTTTGCTTACAAATCATATATCAATTTAAAAGTATTTTTATGCTCTTTCTGATAAATATATTTGTTAATATAGTTAATTACGTATTTTTTTACGAAAAACATACATTTTTATAAACAACTTTGTTATAATTTCGTTTTTTTTTTACTTTTTCTCCAAATGTGTATATGTATATAATATGTATAGATATAGATAACGAATGAAATGCCTTTCAATTACCTTGTAAACCGTGTCCATATTTTTGTAATCGTTTCAACAGTTTTCGAAATATAAGTTTTTGAAAATGTTGAAAATTCCACGTTTAGCGCCCCCTAGCTCCGCCCCTGTCAATTTGCACCAAAAAAAAAAATGCCGTTAAAATCACAAAAAGGGGGCGGGCCACGCCCACTTTTTCTTTTTTCTCTAGTTCAAAGGTCCGGATTCTTTAGGTCTTCCCCATATTTTTATAAAAAGTTTTGCGAAAAATTGAATATCTATAAAATAGTTGTCCGTATTGTAGAAAATTCGCTGTTCCTAAACTTTATTGACTGACTGTATATATATAAACTCATGTGTACATATCTACACATACCCGTACATACATATGTATATGTATGTATACATACTCGTAAATGCAGCCAATTTGCTGGCACTCGGTTTCACATATTTTGTAAAATGACTTGCAAGCACTTTAATGCATACACTTTTCACAACACAAACATTGAATTATATTAATTGAAACACTTACTAAAACATATTTGCACATTAAATATTTAAGTTTTATCACTGATTTATTAAAACTTTTCACATAAATCGAAAGACCGAGCAAACGAGCACTTTATACAAACAACGATTTGAGCATGTAGAACTGAGGATACGGAACTGCTGACAACAACAGGAACACTGAGAAGAAGGAAACTATTTTTAAAATAATTATTTTCTATTTTTCGATTTCCCATTACTACCAGCGAGGACACCAACCACGAGTATTTTGCGCAACGAAAATTTTGTAAACACAGGAAGATACATATGCTGAGATGTTGCATTCATATATTCCAGTGGGCGTGGAACGCATGAATGTATATTCGCTATGAAATAAAAGTGATACTTGAAATTGAATACAAGTAATGTTTAAGCGAAAAAACAAAACCGACTTCAATTCTCGTATAAAAAAAGGATCGGATCAAAACCTGTGAATAAGTAAATCTAATTGGCTTGTGTCATGGCAGGATAATTTTTGAAAAACGTTTAATAAATTTGATGCTAATAAAAAAATATATACATAATAAATATATGCTTTTCTGTGTTTCTGTCGTCAAAAATTCCGTTTCCTCAGTTAAATTAAAACCGTCGCACAGTGGGCGATTTAGCTAATCTAGCGTAACGAAATTAATTGCTCTAAATATTAAAAAAATTTCACAAAATTTTTTAATTTTTATGTAAAGAAAATAATTTTTTTTATAATTTTATTTTTTTTTTGTTTGTAACTAAATTTGTTTACTTTATTTTCGCCATTTATAAATATTGTTCAAATTTAACATTTCCATAGAATGCTTGATATGATCACCCTAGTAGCCATTATACGTTTTACATAAACCTAGAAAATGCTATATATACTTATTTCCATATATACATACATACATACATACATACATACATACATACATACATATGTATATTCTATGTACATAGAACCAACAGTAAATGATCAAAACTTCAGTAATTTCTAGCTTCAAGTAAAAAGTAGTGGGCGCGTCGCACGGAATCTGCAAATTCTTTAAAAAAAAGCATTTTAACTAACCAACTAAATCTTATTTAAACTAACAAATTTTGTGCTTTCTTACAAAAACTACAAAAATTTGTCCCTAAATTTTATTTTTATACAAAGCGTGTAATGTTTAATTTAAACAAATGGAAAGTTCTACCTACTTTGGCTGTTTTGCAAATCTTCAGCTTAGCTTTAGCAATGATGTCCGAAGGTAAAAACAAATTGAATTATGTATTTACAAGCTAATTTGTGTTATACGAGTACCAACCCCAAAACAAAGTCGCTGGACTCGAATAAAATTAATTTTGATGATGCAGTTTTTATCAATTTTTTTTTTTTATAATTATTAAATATATAGTACATCCATAAATGTGTTTTTTTTTAGAATTAATGGAGGTCTCTTGCATTGACGATGATCAATGTGTCTATTACGAAGCGGAGGACATCAATTCCATTTGTTTAAATGGCATTTGCCATTGCCACAACAACAAAACGAAAATGAAGACCTTCTGCAAACCGAAGGTAAATTACTTTTCAACGATGCGAACATTGGTGAAAATCAAGTTGTTATTTTGAAATAATTTAAAATAAGAATTCTAAATAAGTAGCTCTGTAGACTCTCCGCAGAAACAATATAATCGGCGGGTACTGTCCATGTAAAATACCAAATGCCAAATGTAATCTACTGGAAAATATCTGTTATTGCATAGAGGATTATGTGCCCACGAAGGACCGAAGGCGGTGTATTCCAAGTGCGTTAGCCAGCAGTAAAGACTTTACTTTCAAATTATTTACTTTTTATTTTTGTAGAGGAAGTACCATTAGGTGAAATATGCGCGACGGACGAACAATGTCTCGCCTCGAGCATTTTCAGTCACTGTGCCAATAATACGAACCGTTGCACCTGTAATGATGAGTTTCAGAGAAAAGGTACCACCTGCCTGGCGAAAACTGGTGAGTTATAAAATGATATCGAGAAAAGTGCGTTATTATAATGATGTAGAATTCTAAATATACTTAATACCTATAAAATTGTCCGAATTAAAATTAAGGCATATATCCTGCTGCACGTCCTCATCTTAGGAGTTTGCACTGGAACGCAGCTATATGTATTTGGGAGCCTCGCCAAAAAGAGTGTCTGTTTTCTCCACCGGAATTATAAAACTTATCTCAAAATATTTCATAAAATTATAAAGACTTACGTGAGCTGTGCTAATTTGAAAATACCTGCGCTATTAAGTTTTTAAACATTTTTATGCAGACCTTCTAAACTTAAACTCTACTATCGTCTGAGGTGATTTTTTGAAAAAATATTTTTAAAACTATGTAGCTTTTTTTATCGATTTTTGGAGGCAGTTGCAAATTGGTCCAGCTCAAGTAAACCTTAATATCCTTTCTAAATATAAAGAATTTACAATTCCGGTGAAAAACAGTGCCAATATTTTTTTTTTTTTTTGTAGTAGAGCGATGCATCCTTATGTATATTTTTTATTTTCAAATTACCAATAATATAATCGAACCGTAAGATTAGATATCCCGTTTCTTCAAATGTTCTAAGTTCTTGGTGGAAGTTAAATTTGTCTACAATATATTTTATACATTTACAAATCTTTTGCTCTAGCTCCGAAAGTGCTTGGACTCAAGTGCACTGGTGAAAATAACTGCACAGAACATGGATCGCACAAGATTTGTTTACAAGACATTGATGAGTGTGTATGCGAACAAGGCTATGTACGCGCTAACGACTCAAAAGATTGTCTACCAGGAAAAAGAATTGGAGAGAATTGCCTCGTTACGCAGCAATGCAATATAAAGATGGGACCCGGAGCTGTGTGTGAAAATGGCAAGTGCCGCTGTGAGGAGGAATATGCGGTGGTAAAGAAGCAAAGTGATGCCAGTCCTACGGAATTAATTTGCGAGCGCTTAGTGCGTAAGTATAGTACCACCTTACAACCAAACAAAAGAAGTTGGCCATACACTCCTCAGTATAAACTATTTTTGCAAGGCAATTTTGAAACAAAAAAAATTTTGTGTGGCCGAACCTAGATGTTGTTTTTTACATTTTGCGGTACAACTACATTCGGCAATAGCATTTTTTAATAGTTCCACTGAAATAATCGAAATACTTTCTTAGCTTTAATTTAGTGCGCTTTGATTTACTGACATTAGGGTGGTACGTTAGTGTGATCAGAACTAAGGGTGAGTACTAGAACAGGATGATTGAGGTCTATGAACTTTGGACCAACAAAAAAAATAGTCTCATCGATTTGTCTTACTTTAAGATCCGACTGCATGGCCGAGGATCATATCCTCGAAAAAAACAATGAAAAATCGAAATTGCCTTGCAAAAGTACTTTATATTAAGGGGTGTACGGCGATCTTTTTTTCTGCTGAGGTCCAATGTGCATGCATATCCACATATACTTATGCCTCACAAATGCAGTAGTTAAAATATTTGGAATATGTTCCTTTGCAGAAATTGGTCAATATTGTAGTCACCACGGACACTGTCACAATGGACATCTCATCGAGAAGGAGCAGTTGTTGCAATGCGAACACGGTGAATGTGTCTGTCGTTTTGGCAATAAAAATCAAGAGCCTTGCAGTACCTCCATGACCAATAAAGTAATGGCATACAATATTTGTTCATGGCTGATGTTGGCGGCAGCAGTTTTGCATTGCCTTACGTTGGGATGTGGATTTAGAAAATATTAAAAGTTTACAAATGTATATGAAAGAAAAATTTACTATTTCGTTGAATTTATTATGTTATATATTTCTTGTTACTGTTAAGCGATTACATACAATGAATTTTTGAGGTGAATATATTTGAAAGATAACCACAAAATTTGCTTATTTCAAATTTGTTGGGCATTCCTTGGATGCTTCCTAAAGGGCATTTTATTCGATAATAACGCTCGAATTGAAATTATGATCATTCCGAAAGCTTAGGATTTTTCCTCCTGTGCCGAAAAAAAAACTATTTAAATATGTACATCCACTGATGGCCTGTCCAGTAATGTGGAAAAATTTTAATAAAGTCTGGATAAAAAGTTTTGTTCTTTAACCTTTTTTCTTAGATGCAATTAAGAACTGGCAAATGTAATTATGTACATACATAAAATTAACGTAAACCAAGGCACAGTAAAGAGGTATTAGCACTATTGTTGATTTTGCACTCTAAAATTTAAAAATAGGTAAAAAAAAATTACATTTCAGAGTAAAATGCTAGCAAAAAAAAAAACAGATTACAAGCGCCAACGCGAAACTAATCAAATCAGCTACGCTGCTGCTGCTACCAAGTCCGGATTTCTTGGCACAGACTAATACGGTGTTTACATGAGACGATTTCAATTTGGAAATTATTTAGCTAAAGAACGGAAAGGAGGCTAACTTAAATTTACTATTTTAGGTTTATTTGATTTATTTATAATAAAAAATTAAGCTTTTATATTATTGCTTTTATATAGATTTAACTGAAAGGCGTTGACAAACTATTAACCAATTAATAACTTTCCTTATAGGTTATGTTCCTGTCTAACTAATTATTTGTTGTTTACTTACATATGTACATAGCTATACATATGCACATGTGTATGGACATATATATGCATATGTGCTAATTTATTTATTAAATTAATTTTTATATTTATGTATTCTTTTTTTAAACTTATCTACTTATTTATTCATTCATTTATTTGTTGGTTATTTATGTGTGTTAATAATGAAATAGATATCAATTATAACTAATTTAATTTACTATAAATTAATTTAAGTCTTCTAATCTCATAAAATATTTTAGGTTAAATAATAAACTAAGGTTAAGTTCCTTCAACAGTATTTAGCAACACGCAATTTCAATTAGATGTAAACATCGTAAAATGTATTACTCATTTGTTTACACTATTCACTTATTAAATAATTGGTTAAGCGAATTTATCTATCAACTTTAAATATTTACAACTTTCCTTCAGAAGGTTTATAAAAATTTTTATCCATCGCAAAAATTTCGTTAAGAACCCACAACAGAAAGATTACTTCAAAAAGCAAAGTAAGAAACATTTTTTAATTTAAGAAATTTTTTACTCAAACCTTGTATAAACTTTTTTTTTAAACTTTGCTTACATGGTTTGGTCACAAAATTTTTTCGAAATTTTCATTATATGCGCTTTACTCTCAATGTATGTATGTCCATTCATGTGTACATGTATGTATGTATATTTTTATGATTAAAAGTAATTGAGAATTATTTATAAATTTTAATTTTAATAAAATTATATTAATTAAGCTCTCACAACTTATAGATATAAAAAAAGAACGTAAAAAAATTATTTTTTCGAGGAAATTGTTCATTGAAAATTTTTCAATAAACATTTTTCCAACTCAAAGTAGGGCAATTGATTTTTCTTAATTGTTTTTAGTATCAAAACATTAACTTTCTTTTAAAGTATGTACATATATATAAAATTTTGTTACAATTTTTATAATCAGATAATCCGATAACCAGGCCGGTGTGAACACTCATTCTATTTTACTTCTAAATTTATATTAAACTAGCAAACCCTAAATTTATATTAAACTAGCAAACGCCGGGACTTCGCCCCATCCAAAATTAAATTTTTATTTAAACATTTGGTCGAACATTTTCAACAACAATTCACGATCACGATTGGTTTTGTTGTCGCCAGAAGGCATATCCTCCATTGCCATCTTAAAGCATATACAGACGGCAGCGTAGATCCGGATCAACTCGGGAATTAATACACATTTTTATTTCACATTTTATTTAATGGGTATCAAAAAAAGGTGGCATGCGGTTGTTTTTGGTACTAGCACTTTAAAGTTTTTATTGAAGGTGTATTTAAATACAACCTACCAAAATCTGTGAAAACCCCAGTTTCAAAATAAAGTGGGTTAGGGCCTCTGTGAATTAAGGTAACGATATGTATCTACAGATAGTTAAAGGTTTCAGTATGCCTGGAAGGCGCCACGCCTCCTTTTCCAATAACCCCTACTTTTCTCCATGAGTATTGGATGGATATGAAATACCTCGGTATCTTGTCCATCTATCAGAAAAAAGTATCCTATAGGTTAATCCAGGCAATAACCTACCTACCTACCAAATATCAAGCAAATCGGACCATGAATAAAAAATTTTCGAAAAGATCCGTCCCTGGTCCACATACCGAAAAAAATATCCTATGCCAATCTAGGCAAAAAACTACCAAAAAAAAGATTCTTTCGAATAGATCGGTCCTTGGTCAACTTCCCGGAAAAAAGGATACTATATCTTAATCTATGCAAAAAGCTACCTACGTACCAAATTTTAAGCAAATCGGACCATAAATACGATTTTTCGAACAGATCGGTTCCTGGTCCACTTACCGGCAAAAATGTATTTTATATGCTAATCTAGGCAAAAAACTACCTACGTGCCAAATTTCAAACGAATCGAACAAAAAAAAAATATTCTTTCGAATAGATCGGTCCCTGGTCCGCCTTCCGGAAAAAAGTAATTATTTTGCCTATGATATGGTGGTTGCTTAAATTTATTTACAAAGAAAATTTTATGAAAATCTGACCAGCCGTTCGGGAGATTACTTGTTACAATAAAAGGGACTCCTCTTTAGATAATTAGTATAGATATTGATTTACGCTTTACTTAAATATCTAAATTGGCTTAAGATAACATATTTCTACTCGTCTTTA